ATGAAAAAAAAAACTATTAGTATGTTAAATAATAAGAATTCAACAAAAAAAAGAAAGAATAGTGAAAAGAAAAAGATGATCAAAGGTAATTTATGAAAACATAAAGAGGAAAATGTAAAAGAAAAAAGAAAATAAAAGGAGAAGAAACTTAAAAAGAGATGTTATGTGCGGAAAAAAGAGAAGTAGAAGGAGAAGGGAAGAGGTAAAAAAATGAAAATGAGAAGAGAATGAGATGGTCTACTACCAAAGTGTTATTTATAGGTCAAACATATTTGACAGGAATTCTGTCGAATATGTTTAAAATGTAAGTAACCGGGAAAAATTCAATTTTTTCGGTGGTAACCGAGAAATTCAATTTTTTCGGTGAGAAGCGCGGGGCAGCGTTATATTCGACAGTCATTGGCTGTCGAATATACATATATTCGACAGCCATATTGGTTGTTGAATATAGTTACAATTTTTTTTTTCTCTTTTACTTAATTTTTTTAAATTTTTTAATCCTTCTATTTCAACAAATGTACTATCTCTTTTAACTAATTGACAATTTGATTTATCTAATTATTTCTTTTTTATTTATTTTTTTTGGTTTTTCTTTTGATTTTTTTTATTAATTTTCTTGTAGAATTTTTGGTTTTAAAAGTAATAAGAGTTAATTTTTTTTAGCTAATAATTAATTATAAAAATTTTAATTTAGATAAAGATATATATATGCTATTTTTCTGTAAAATATTATATTGTAACTATTTTCTTTTTACTATAGGATTGTTAAATTTTATTAATACTATATATTTTACTTATTTAAATTTAAATACTACATAACTAGAAACTAATTTAAGTTAATAAAATATATATTAACTTTTCATCCTACATACCATATATCTACATATGCAGTACATATATATAAACATATATAATATAAGTTTCAACTATCAATGTCTCTAACTATGACGTGGGAAGTGATCAGGTCTAAATCCTTCAAAAGAAGGATAAGCAGTCTGGGGTGGTGCAAAAGAAGTATAACCAGTTTGGGGTTGTGTAGCATTCATAGAATATTGCTGCCTAAATAAGCGCATGTGCTCTTGGAATCTCCTCTCAAAGCTGGCCTCCATCTCTAATACTCTCTATGATACCTCTGTATGAATACGTGCAGCCACCTCATTTGAACTCGCTCAGCCATTTCTTCTCGAACTTGAGTAAGCTTAGACTGCAATTGCTGAACCTGTGTCGTAAGAATTTTAGTGGTAGAAGATGAGGTGTCACTCATGTCATACCGTCGCCAAGGGATGCCATGCTCTACCGGATCCTGTAATGTAGACGTCCCTCTCATCTAACCCTTTTTAGGAGGTCAAACCACCTCCTTCCAAATAAGTGGATCCCATTCTGGCCATGAATCCTTGTTTGGCCCATGCTTCTCCACATATTTTTGGTGAGCATCGTTCTGTTTTAAAAATAAAATTTTCATTAGTTAGCAATTTCAAATGATAATGGGAAATCAAATGAAAAATAATCATTTACTGAATACAATGGATAAAAAATTGTATCACTTTTCTTCTTTTATGGCAATATGACATTAAAAATAAATAAAATTAATATCATAAAAGAATCAAATTCTTACATATGTCTGCTCAGTCTGTGGACATATCCAAGTGGGTGGGGCATCTTCTGGAGCATCAGATCGGCGAGTCGTGTGAGTCAACAAGTACGACTCTAAAGGTGTTGGCCTAACTCCTCATCTTTTAGCTGCCTATTAAAACATCAATAAAATCAATAACATTTCCATTTTTATGGTAAACAAAAATAATTTATATATGTATATATATAAGTATATCCTACTAACCAGTTGATCCTCATGGATCCCAATAGAAAGGCATCCAGTTGTGTGGGTCACACGGTCACCCTTTGGTCGGTTTTTTCGACCTCTTTCCTGGAGTGCAAAATATTTTGGATTCCTCCATTTTGCCAACAAAATTTTAAAGGTATCCTTATGCATAAACTCGGGCAACTTCTTCTCCCTGACCCACGCCTTTTGAGCCCGATGAAACTTGTTTCAAAAACGATTTCGACAATATAATCTCCAGATTTTATACACACGAGCATCATCCTCTTCCCAATAATATGTCCTCTACAATGAAAAAAAAAATTTTTAATGTTAATAATTTATTTGATTTTTCTTTAAAAAAGAGCAAAATTTTGCTTAAATTGTCATTTTTTTTCACTATTATAAATAAAATATAAAAAATCATATAAAATATAC